AATTTTGATCTGGCTCCGGCAGAAAATCTTCCTGATGACAAAGATGCAATTGAATCTTATTTATTGTGAGTAATAACTACTGACATACAAGAGTTTAGATGAGAAGTATATACGCTGTGGTAAGTGACCTTCCCACAAACAAGTTGGAGGAAACAGAGAGGTATCCCCCATGACATGAATGCCAAATACTGTACAGTACTGCCACTTGTCAAATTTTCGACACGTTCAGCTGGTTGTGGGAATATTTTTCTCCATCAATGCCGAACAGCGGCCAGATCTTGGAAATGTAAAGTTTTTATTTGATGCTAAGTAGTGTTGATATCTTGGAATAGTGTTACTGCCATCAGACACAGCAGCAACAGTTATATTTTCCTTTCACTTTTCGCTGATAATGCTGTAGGTTATAAGGAAACATTAGGTCACAGTACCCTGTAAACACAACCAGCTGTGACTACGACCCAAGTAAAACTTAACAAACAAACATAAAGAATGGCAGTGAGCACATGCATGGCTGTGGTTGACAGGTTCAGCACAGGTGTAGTGTGTATATTTGCAGACATGATTATGCATGATCAGACAAATGTTATGAAAACATACATATCTGTGAATATATTGTATGTTAAGCAGGTGCTGACTGGGCTGTACTTCATCCTTACAGCTGTGGCAGCCACCCAGTTCTGTACTGGCCTTGTCAGTCAAGATTGCAATAACACTTTTAATGCTGTACTGTATGTCATTATAGATTATAGTTAGTTTGAATATCACTACAGTAAGATTTTAACATTTTCCCCAAGTTCTCAAAACTTGTTGCATACTTTCAGATTCCATTTATGTGAATTTCTGTCAATCATGGGATAACTGTACAGTATACTGTATTATTATTATTTTTTTTTAAGATATAGTACAGTATACTGTATGTTGATAAAGATTTCTATCAAGATTCTTGGAATTAAGAAATGGCATACTGTATAGGGTAGATGAAGTAAATGAAGAAAAAATATAACTAATTTCTAAGAGTATGTTTACTACAGTTTGTTGTAGATGGTATAGACAGTACAGGGTACTGTACCTGCAGCCACAAGTACAAATACTGTATTGGAGTGTAAGGAAGTACAACATAGAGGCATGACTGTAAACACCAGATACTGAAGAGATGGTTTGTGTAGCATAAAAAACACATTACAGTACACTACAGTATATGAGTTTGTAATTAAATAGTGTTTGATGAAAGGTTGTAGAGTAATGATGTTTGTACTTAGGTAGAATAATGTAGAAATAGATAGGGTAAGACCTCTTTCACTAAAGTTTTATTGGAAATCAATGAAGTTTGATGGGACTTTTCACACAGGTGTCCCATTGATCTCAAAAAAAATTTGGTGCGAAAGAGGCCTAAGAAGTGGTGAAGTAAAGATAGTAATAAGAGTTATAAATAAATAAGGAAGTGTCTACATGTAGTTAGTCTCTCAAGTGTGTTTACTGAACTAATAATTGGGTACAGGTTGCCCTCGTTTATGGCTATTTCACAAGAACTGGATTCCCAGTTGCACAGTTTACTCATTATTACCCAAGATTTGTTTATGCCTGGCTAAAATTCACACGTATTTGGATACGTTATGCGCTATCTGTCTTGACTGTACATAATGCAGAATGGGAAAAGATTAGTCTGCCAGAACACACCTAGAGCGTGTTACCGTATATACTGTATTAACTTTTGTTGTACCGTACTTACCATCTTCTTGCCTCCAATAATGGCTCCCTAAAGCATCCTTCAATTCCTATAACAAATAAAGTAAGTCTGAAGATGCTTAAGAAGAACATAACCCTAGAAACTATGTTGCAGATATTGATTAGTGTTGAAAATTGTGAAACAGCTGCTGGGGGTACCTAGTGAATGGGTCAGGCACATGTGCTATCAAGAGGAATTTCAGACAAAATTAGGAATGTTGTTGAACAGTCTACTACATTTTAATTCAAGATGGTGACAAGAGTGAGAAACCCAGTTATAGACATATGGAAAAATGGCAGTTATGTGGATTGAACATCAAAGTCAAAAGTGAATACTGTACTGCTAAGGTTTGTCATCATGTGTGGACAGTATTACAGTTGTACAAACATAGGGGGTAAGAACAGGTTGAAGCTTTGATTGCCAGTGCTGACTGTCTCTCTCCTCGTGCTGATAATAAATTTGTTATTAGTGTATACAGTATATGAAAGATTTAATACAAAAAAAAATTTAATCAAAAGGGGGACTTTGACCGTGACTGAAAATATAACTCTATTTCCTATGGAAACAAGAACAATACAGTATTTGTTTATGTTGGTTCACTTAGAATATAGTACATGTAGTGTACAGTATTGGCCTTGTCTAGGAACACAACCCCTGGCATAGATGAGGGTGACCTGTATTTGAAATTTGGTTCTTATTAGTAGTGAAGTGGAGTAATCTTTATTTTATGAATTGAATATCACTATTTGTGGTAAACTGTTACTTTACTTGTACTTTTTTTCAGATGTACAGTAAATTCTTACTCAGTAGACCCTGGGCAGTGCACATGGTGTCTAGTAGTGAACATTAGTAAGGTTTGACCAAGAATTAATGAGGGTGGTGATGTAGGTGTTATCTTTTATGGTGAACATAATAGCATAAGTTACCACTTTGTCTTAGTACCGTGTCCCCACAAATGTATGCCTTGATTGTTAGTGTTTCAGAAGTGCACAACAGATCAATTTGTTTGTAACTTGTGAATAAATACCTGTACAAGAGATTTATAGACCTACGATCAATTTTTGTCAACATGTGGTTGAAAAATCTGGTAGCTTCACCAGCCATCTTGGATATGAATGGCTTCTTGGACCCTCCAGTCTGTTGTCACCATGGCCAGCTGCCGCCCAGTAGGCAGGAGTAGAGTTGGTTGTCATGCATCTCACTGCTCTATCACCATGCTTTATGCACTATGTGTTACAGCTTCTGAACCCTGTGTGGTCAAGTGGTGATGCAGTTAGCAAGAAAATGATAAAAAGTTTCATCTTTGAAACTGAAAAATCCATTTGCCTGCAACATTACCATGGCTGTCCACTGCCTAGTAGGCAAGAACAGCATTATCAATCACAGTGTGTCTTTTGCTGTGCTATGGCTGTGTTGCTGTGCACCATGTGTTATAGCTGTGCTTGTGCATTCTGTGTACAAAATACTTTGTGTACAGTGTTAATTATTCCTAGATGCTTATGCAGCTTTCTGGTGATTCTGCAGCAAAGAAGGAAATGAAAGAAAGTTTCATCTTAGAATCTTGGAGATTTTCCTGCCCACAGCATCACCATGGCCAGCCACTCCCACCTGCCTCTCACTTTGACCACTGCACATTATTGCCACCACCATCTACCATAATCTCCAAAGTATTTACAAGCTGGATTTACTTATTTGCTGTGTAAATTATTTAATTACTAATGTTTTTGTAAAGACACACGTAGTTGTTTAAAATCTTGTACAGTATTGTGGGTGGTATAGTATCATATCTTAGTCTCAAATTACCTAAAGTAAATCTCCCATTTCCCATAAAAAAAATTACCTGATGTATGATTTCATTCTTTAACAATTCTTAGTTCACTCCAAACCTTGAACAATTTACCAGTACTCTGATTGTTTATACAGTAGTACCCCATTTAAAGCTGTTTAACCATAGAGCTCTTGGTCCTGGAGAAATATTTTATCTAAAGAAAATACATCAATAAACAGTCAGAAGCTACGAGTTCAACATTTTCCCTTCAACACCCACCATCTTGAGGTTCGCAATTAATGAATGTCCTGTGTGACATACAGTACATCCGATCAGTTTATAAATTAGGTAAGAGTTATTTTTAAAAAGCAGATCAAAGTTGGTAAATAAAATATCACTGTATAAAATAAAAAAAAATCGAATATATACAAAGGAACTTTAATTTTGCACCAACACAATTACAATAACTCATCGGCCTTATGACGCTGATGGCACTAAACACTCATAGCCAGTCAGTGATCGCTCTTTTCTGTGTAAATTTTGACCACCGGTGGGTATACATTACACCTTTTTCCTTTCGTTATAAGACTTTGGGGGGCATCAATTTGAATATTTTACATCATAAAATTGTCAGGGAAGAGGTCTGAGAATAAGCATTACTTCAGGTGTTAGGATTCAAGTAGTGAGACGGGTGGAAGCAAGTGGTGAGTGTCAGGTCGACGTGGATAATTCTTTGAACTTAGCCACATCAATAGTTAGGACAGTTTTGATGAATGCAGACAAGATAAAAGCTTCTGTCAGACCACCACTCCATGTAACAATGTGTTTACCAGTACCTAAGTGAAGCATTTATTTATATCACTCGTAGGTAAGTGTAATGACTGTAGGAACACATCTCCATATATATATGATGGTATAATGACCACCTTTAAGTGCTGGTTCGGTCAGCACTCTTCTCCAGGACACTGTGGGCACTAAGAGGGGTGTTACCGTGTCTTTATCCCAGCTTACCATACTAGTGCCCTGGCTTGTCTGAAGTTGGCCAGCTGTGAGAACGTTAATAAAATCACATGGTATGTACCTTGATTATGTGAGTAATTTAATGCTCACTTTGGATGCCACCATATTCATTTACATTAGCAATAGATACAGTAGACTATATATGTGGTGAAGTTTATGTTCATAAATGTTCTGATTCCCACTCATGACCTCTTACTTGGTACTTTCATCTGGTTGGGCAAACTGGTTTGATTTTCATCTGTGACTTATATATCGGTATGTCATAATTGCAACTCAAAATAGAAAAAAAAAACAGAAGTTCTCAATCAAGTGAATGGAAACATGTAGGACTTAATGTTGACCGAGTTATACAATTTGGGCAATACAGTATGTCACGCAGCTGTATACTATTACTCTATATTTTTATTTTTTATTTTTTTATTATTCAAAAGGAATTTGATGCATCATATAGCTAAGAGGATTTTCTTACAATAACTTATATTTCAGACTGATCATGCCAAAAACAATCCATTCCTGAGTTCTCCAACCAGTGAGACAGCTCCAGTCCCAATCACAAACAATGGTGACTCGTCTCAGATCATCGACCTGTTTGGTGCTTCTCAAACTGATGCTGCAGTGGCCACACAGGTAACACCACACCACACATTGATGCTTGTCTTACTTCTCACAGGATTATGTTTATTTGATTGATTAGAAATTATATTGAGTCTGATAAGAGCCAGCTCAAGCCAGATTAACAACTGGTTCCATCTGGGCTTTGTTCAGCTACTGATTATCAGTGTTTGAAATGTAGCCAGACAAGACATCATAGCTTTAAATCATGTGACCCAACCATTGGCCTCTCTTCATATAAAGGAAGATTTTTTCCATACTTAACCTTTAGTTAGAATGTCTGATACTTTGTAATGAAGAATAATTAAATAGAAGCTGTCACCACTTCAGATTATGATTTATGATTGCATTTCAAAGACATACAAAAAGGATCCACTAGGAACAGTTTGTTCTTAAATCCAGGTTTCAGAAATGGGACAAAAAATAAATATAATGAATACTTGGAGTGGAAGATAAGGCAGAGGGCATAAGTAGTGGATAGTGAAGAAATATTCACTCGGATGGTATAGACAAGTGAAAAGATTTTTGGTGGAAAGAAAGAGTAGAAAAGAGGGTACATACATTGTAGCAGGTGCATTAAGGTGAGGAGGGGGGATTAACTACATGATTGGAGAGAAAGGTGGAACAGTACATCAAGGAGACAACATGAGAAGGGTTAAGGCTGGGGAACAGAAAAGACAAGTGAAGTATGCAGTGACAGGGCAGGATGGAGGCTTACCGGTTATGGCCATCCCCTCGGATGAAAGTTCTCTTGGGAAGTGAGATATTGTAGAGAATAGTGGGTGAGATTTACTGCAAGTTAGTTTGACCTATGGAGTTCACCTTTTTTCATTCTTCAAGTAACAGTTAATAAGGTTCTTCCCTTTATTATTTTGTTGGACAGTGAAGCAAATAGTTATTGTGAACTTTGAAACATTATGGTCAATATGATAGCAAGAACAGACTCTTTTGTTAACTCTTGAGGTCGTCTGAAATTTATTTAATGCCTGCCACAGGACCTCTTTTGAGCCCGCAGAATAACCAGAAATCACGGAGAATTTTTATTTTGTTATATTTTTTTCAAGGATGCTATTTGTGGCTAAGGTACTGTACAGTATTGTCAAATATTTATTCAAATGATGGAAGGCTGGGAAATCACATGAAGCCCTAAAATAAAATAAAAATAAAAGCCATTTTGGCGAGTGTAAGCTAAGCGTGAGTTTATTGTTGATTCCTCTTTATGCTGTACCCACATCATTACATCAGTTAGTATAAAGTGCTCATGGTAAGAAAGAGTCAATCATGAGGAAGACAATGGTGAAATCAGAAAAAAAGATAATGTAAAAAAGTATTTTGTTGAAATCTTTTGAAAGTACCGGGGTATTTTTTATGACACATTATTGCTGTGCACATACCAAGGAAGAGAAATAGACCAGTTAAAAGTTTGTGACAAAAACTGAAATTTTGGTAATAATATTTCCACTTAACCACTCAGACGAGGTAGGCCTTGACATATGAACGACAATGACGATATGAATACATATCAAATAAGCACAATACAGTGAACCCTCGAAGATCTGGGGGGGGCTACCTGTCTGAAAAAGCCGATTGTCCAAATCCTCTGACGAATAATAAATGATACAGTACTAGAAGAAATACCAAAAATGCAGTACTAATGTAGTTTCACTTACCCTATGCGGTGGATAGATGAGTTTGTGTTGCTGTGATTGTAGTGGGGAGTGAGAACAACTTATTATTCTGAGTCAGAGGAGCAGGGATGCTCCTCAGTTTTGCTTGGCTGGGAGGCAGGAGGGGTGCAAGTAACAGGCTTGAAGGAGGAGTCCAGCTTAAGTTGCTTCCCTGTGTTGTACTGCTTCTTTATAATAAGTTCTCCTAAAGTCCGAAAGTGTTCATAATACTGGTGCATTTGAGGACCGGATTTGCTGTCAATATAAGTTAAGATGATGTTAACCAACTCTCGTACAACAGACAATTTAAAGGTAGGCATCTTCACACACGACTCCTCTCCGTCACTGCTCTCCGCGTCGTCGTCCTCCTCTTTTTCAACAGCACGGACAGTATTGGCAATCTCCTCAGCTGAAAGCATATGTGGATCACCCTCATTTTCCTCCAACCACGTCCACATCCTCCATGGTTATATTGTTTTCTCCACCACGGTGTAACATTTGATGAAAATCTGTTACCTCAAATCCCTCAAAGTTGAGTTCAGGCTCAGTATCAAGCGAAAGTTTCTTGCAGCTGTTAGCTAAGGTGGATGTCTTGACATCCTTCCACAAAGCAGCAGAGTTAAATATCACTGATTTTATATTGTATTTCTTGATGTTGGTTAATGTACGTTGCCCTCTTGTGTCATTGACATCATCATCTTCGTCCTTCAGCACTACCAGCACTTCATCCAGGTACCTCCTCTGGTACAGCCTCTTGCATGACACAATAACTCTGGTCCATAGGCTGAATAATGGACGTAGTGTTGGGCGGCAGAAACAGGGCACGAATTTTACCATCACTGCTGACCAGTTTCTCAGCACTAGGGTGAGCTGGCACATTATCGATCAACAGAATTGCTTTGACGTCTTCAGAATCCAGCTTCATAACCTCTTCTTGTTATTTGCATATATCAGGGATGAAGTGCTTTAAAAAGTCATTGAAGATCTCACGATTAAACAATGCATTCTCGGAATGGTAGTAAATAACTGGCAACTGGCGCATACAATCCTTTAGCATTTGTGGGTGCATAGACTTGCCAACGACAGCTAACTTTAAGCGGTGCATACCATTAGCAGTAGCACAGCATAATGCAGAAATGCGCTCCTTACTCACTTTGTGGCCGGGTGTGGATGCTTCATGATTAAAGGCTTCGGTGTTGTTGGGGAGTGACCGCCAAAATAACCATTTCATCAGCATCATAAACTTGTGCCAAGTTCACCCCTTCGTCCTTGACGAGTTGGTTTAACTTCTGCCTAAACGGCTTGACTTCTTCAGTTTGAGCACTCCCAACCTCACCGTGTAACTTAATGATACGTATGCCATGGCGATTCCGGAACCTCCACAGCCAACCATCACTAGCTTGGAATGGAATACCCAAATACTGACTCTACTTATTAGCTGCTTCAGCTATCTCTTCGCCACGAATTTTAACCTCGCACACATGCTGCTGAACAAACCACATGTACACTGCTTCTTGCAACTCTTTATCCTTAAGCACTTTCATGTGCTTCCTTGCACTAGCTGCACTGGCACCATCAATGTCATACTTCAATGCAAATGCGGTAAGTTTATCCTTGGCCTTACGTATGTCTGACCGTTTGTTTCTTCACACCGTAGTCATCACAGACTTGAGCCACGGACACACCAAACTCTAACTTCTTTATTAACTCTAGTTTCTGCACAACAGATAAATGTACATGCTTTCTCTTCACACCACCACTTGCTTTAGATGCCATGATAAATAACTATTAAGCACTGTGTACGTGTCAGTAAACGTAATACACAGTAAATCCAATGAAATATGGCAGGGCCAAGTGAAGCTCTACTACACTGGCTGATGCACTAACTAGCCGACCCAGTAACGTACTCCCCTTGCTTCCGGTCCGTTGTCAGGCGTACGATCAAAATACTGTACATATCTTTTAGTCTAATTTGAAAGTGGTGACAGACACAGTGATAAACAAATTATACAAACTATGCATTCACCTACAATAACATAATCAGAAAATTGTATCATGACTAGAGTGAGTGAAATATTCCCATAAACAAAAATTGTCAACTCTATTTTGTTTCCCCCACTGCCTCAAGGCACCTATGACCCGCGCGACCGGTCAACCAGCGCCCACGGGCCTAAAATATTCTTTGTTCTGTTTTGGGATTACTTTTTAGGGAGTCTTCTTCACCCAGAACCTCCCAAATACAGTATGTATTTAGAATGCTGTGTGTATGTAAATGAATAAGAATAAATGAAGAAAGTTACGTATATCTACCTGAAAGTACGAGTTGAAAAATAACCATAACATCTCACAACTTGGGCCAGTAGCCTGGTGGTTGCAATGATGAGTTTAACCTGGCTACAATGCCATGAATAATCACTATTAAGCATTATTATATCAGTAAACACTAATAATAACAGTAAATCCAGTGAAATATGGCAGGGAGGGAAGAGAGTTAAGCGCAGATGACACTCAACTACAGTAGCAGCACTCACTCACTCCCCTTACCCGCACCCGTCACCAGGCGTACAATCGAAATATGTAGGGGAGAAATACATATCTTGTAGTCTAATTTGTAATTGATGACAGGCACAGTAATAAACAAATTATATAAACCGTGCATTTACCTACGATAACATAATAAGAAACATTGTATCATTATTAGAGAGAATGAAATAATATTCCCAAAAACTACAATTGTCAACTCAGTTTGCTTCCCACTTCCTCGAGCACCTGTGTCCAACACAGCCGAAGGGTCAAGCGGCTCCCACGGGCCTAAAATGTTCTTTGCTCTGTTTTGGGAAGGTTTCTTAGGGAAGCTTCTAGGACGCTTCTTAGCCCAGAATCCCCCAATTTTTTTTACGAATCATCCGAAATCCGGATTTACCGGGTCCGGATCTTCGAGGGTATACTGTATATTCATTATAATTCATTATACCCATATGCATGCCTCTACTGCACTATATTTCACTATCAATTATTATTGTTCCAAGCTATGCCTATATATTACAACATGCTTTTGTGTGGTATATGTGACTATTGTGAGTAGCCTTTTCACCAATGTCTCATAAATTAAAAAAAAATATTTTATTATAAATACTTCAATACACATCACTTTATCACTTCATGAGGATAAATATATTGAGATAGCTGCGATAAGGCCACTGTGGCCACTTTTAAATCACACCTGGGACACACACACACCACTTAGGAAACCAGATGCACACTGGTGATTGTGGTGCACTATCACCTGGCCTACAGCATCTAGGTAGGTTGCCACCTAGCCTTAAGACTTAGTTCTGTGCAGGAGAGTGGCATGATAAAAGTGGCATTAAAATTTGACCATAAACTTTTTGAGAAAATTAAAAAAAATGCCATGATGTGTCTGATTGTGAGGGACAAGTTTCATTTACAATAACTCAAAATGCCACTTACGCGTCTGAATCCCAGCTTTATTGGTAGGGACCGGCAGATTCTTATGGCATTTTTGCATGCAGTAGATCAAAATGCATATCAATAGAATCAGTAATTTCTTTCAAAATATTTATAGCAGAAAATAGTCTTCTTTTATTGAAGTAATTCTATTCCTGCTTCTTTCTTTATGTATTATTATTATTACTATTACTGGATGTATATTATTGCTGGTTGGTCTTACTGGCCCCTCTCACTCCAGGCTAGTAAAGCATCGGATGATTTACTTCAGTTGGGAAATCCATTTGCGGACATGCTGACCACCCCAGCTGCCAGCAGTGCTCCTGCCCCCCCAACACAGCCGTATTCCAATGGTAGGACTGTTATGTTCCACACACCCCAGATCCGTGGTCCTCCTGGTATTTAGGTGTCACATTTCAGCATGATTGATATTTATTTTAATGTATAAGCGCTGGTAGACCTCATTTTTCTTTATTTATTCCAATGCAGCAGCTTGATTCAAGATGTGCACAGAATTGATATTGCATTTGTTATTTTTCATTTAAATCATTAATGTGATTTATTGATTGATTTCATGAATAAGAGACAGTGAAAATAATTTGTTAATCTCTTTCAATGTTAAATTCATTCCTTAACTTGATATACTGTGTAGCTTATCTGCCCTTGAAATGAAGTAATAGTAAAATGAGGATTGGGGTGAAGTAAGCTTTGAGTGTGTACAGTACAGTCTTCTGCACTAGTTTAATGTTTGGTGTGTTGTGAGTGACTGAGGGATGGGTTAGTCTAATGTGAGGGTTGTTTTCTGTGTGGGAGAGTTAATGTTTTTTTTTTCTCACAAGTTTTGGTAATGTTTATATATGAATTTGAATCTATCATAAAGTACAATGCATGTCAAGCCTGTGTTTTATTTACAGTACAGTACATAAAAGTTGTAATTTCTACTGTAAGTTGAACAGATTTTAAATTGTACTTAGTTATTCTTCAGGAATGATGTGCATGGGTACTGTCAAATATATGTTTGTATATTGTGACACAGAATTACTTTCTGGAACTGTTTTGTATTTAAATTAATTATCTTAAGATTCTTATTCTCCTTCAGCATTTTATTTAATGAGTGTGTGTAAAATAGGTTGACAAAGGATCCCTTCATTGTTAGGTAAGTCTGTGGGTGTTTTTGTGTGTGTGTGTGTGTGAGAGAGAGTGTGTATGTGTGTGATTATACTTGTATATTTTTGTGAAACATTAAGTACCAGGTTGTAATGGGATCTCAGTGATGTTTACTTGTTGTGAGCCAGAAGGTAAGTCACCTTATGCTTGACTGCTCGTTCACTCATCACAGAATGCCATAGAAAATTACTACAGGTATTTGTTTATTGGTTGTTTTGTTTTGTTGCATGAAATGTTTAGCTGTAAGTATGCTGAAGAGATGTATTCAGTTAAGTAAATTCCTTGTAGAAATCTTCTTTATAACTTGTGTACATACAACAATGGTAGGAGTCTAGACTTTGGGCACTTTGCTTTAAGTGCAGCTCTTAAAAATAGGTTTTAGTTTTGTAAGGAATATTTTTTAATAGAATGCTGCCATAATTGTAGACACTACTGGGCATCTCATACTTTTCATTGATATTACCAGAATGTATAGTCATTTTTGTTTACTATTTCAATAACCTTGAAGTAACAACAACAAAGTAAGATGTTAATCACCTTATTTTACCCAACTTGATAATCCATAGAGCAGGATCTGACCTAAAGCTCCATAACTATAGCAGACAACCACTGAGCCACAGATATTGATGCTTTGAACTGTCTTGACACAGTGGAGTAGATACAGCACTTGCCTCCTGTTCCATGGGTCGGTGGATGATCCCTGGGCACTCCCAATTCATCCAGCTGCAAATGGGTACCTAAGTTTACAACTTGGAGAAGTGAATCCGGTCTTGTGCAGTACCGGCCATGTTGCCTCCTTGTGTACCAAAGGCTTATTTTACAGTGTGCTGTATCCTCACTGCTCCTCACAGACAGTCCTGCCTATGGGACCCACTTTCACTTATTCAATCTTAATACAGTACTGTAGTTCTTTTATTGGTTCACTTTACATTCTCACTCTGCCATTTAGTGGTTGTTACTTTTCAACTGATGGATGAGGAGAGATGTACCTGACTTTGTGCTCTGAAAGCCAATGCGGTTGACAAGTGACCTCTTTCAAGGTAGTCTTGCATAGTGTTGCCATAGATAAGTTATTTATTTACATGGGCAGAGGTTTTATATGAAGAACATGCAAAGATTTCCATTTATGTCCTTTTGGGTTATTAACCAGTCAAAAGTGTGCATAAAGTAAGGTGGTGGGAAGGTTGGGGTGAATTTAATATGAAAAATTATATTCCTGTAAATAAGAAATTTTCTTGTTTCACAGAAGTATAATGCAGTATAGTAATGAAGTTTGCAATTCTTGGGTAATAAAGTATAATGCTGTGTTGTATGACACTGCCATAGCTGCCTTGACTTTTTTTTTCTAATCACTAACAAGTGTTCAAGGTTGAGTGATGAGAGTATTGCTGCTGATGGTGCAATAAGGCACCATGCAATAAATTATGCAGGAAGTGGAAATATTATTCAGTGATTTCCAAACACTGGTTTTAAACAAACATTTTTTAATATGGAACAGTTGGTCAGTCACCTTAGGTACTCAGCATATCCAATAACCTCCCCAGGCTATTCCTGCTCCCACTTCTGCAGCCCCAGACAGATCTTGTCTTTGACTTAACCATCCAGTTAAGAAATAAAAATGAATAGATGTACACATCATATAACATTTTGTTACCATTAAATACAAAGATTATAGTCTAAAGGAAGTCATAACCAGTGCTGTTCAAATACAGTACATCTTGCCTTCACGCTGCATGATTATGTAACTGCACGGTTAGTTTTTAGATACAGTACCAACATTTTTCTGTGCACTAGGGAGTGATTTGACACATGTATTGCACAGTCATGCTGAGGGTCTGCACAACCTACTCACCAAGTTCAAGATGACAAGCAAGCACTTCAGGGTGCAAGTTGTATGACCAACACGTGTAGCAGTCCATACCACTGCTTAGCAGTTGTTAAGTGTTTCCATACTTACTGTGTAAGTTTCTCCAGTCCTCTTACTCTCTTCTCATAATGGCACCACCGACCAAACACCTACAAGCAACCGTGAATTGGATACTCCAGTCCAAGGAGCAGAAAATAATATTTAACAACAGTATTACTTGGGGTCCAAGAGAGAAATATTGAGCCCTGGTGTTACCTTTACCTCTCAGGCTCTTATCTCCTTTCTCTACCACCCCATCACACCTGCTACTCTCTCGATATTTAAAAATAAAATATAGATAAATGCGACAAACAATATGCACAGGATATATCACAGGAGTATATGCTGTACATGGTGTGGATTACAGTGGACAAAGTTTATACATATCAAGTTGAAATAATTTTTCAGGGACATAACTACTGTATATAATATTTGAAGTACTGTAGTTGGGGGAAAAATGAGGCTCCACAGAATAACTGAATGTCTTGTGTCTTTTTCTTCTTCTGTAGCTTTATAATTTGAGCTTCAACTTCAACTTGTTTTCTTGTACTGTAATTGATAATTCTTTCGAGTATATTTAAAAGAAATTTGTCCAATACTCAAAATACAGGCTTTATACTTGCTCATTGTTGGTATTGAAAAACTACTAGACTGCTGCATGTGATTATCAACTGTATTGTACATAAAGTAACTTGGTGAGGGTATGTATCAACCTCAAAATTATCATTATATTTATGACAATACAATTTGTTTCAAGAAAGATACATTTAATATTCTTTTATGTGAATTATTAAGAGGGCAAGAAACTGAACCAGAATATGAGGTGAAATTAGCGCAAATGCTTTAATGCCGACGTCTTTTGTTTTTGCTTCATTATGTTTATTCATGTCACACTTATTTAACTGAACTGCTTCGTACTTCAAGTCTGTTTTGTTGTAAGGACAATACTGTACTACAGACCAAAACAGAAGTGTTGTGTTGGGTACAAAGCCACTCCTTCAGACACAAGCTTCATTTCATTAGACTGGCTGAAGCAAGGTGTTTTAGGCTGTGTTCAAATGGTTTTCATCTTTTGTGCTGATTTATGATATATACAGTATTTCAGTGTATAGCTTATGATTATTTTTTTTCTTTACAAATAATTTTTTTTAGTTAATATTTTACTTTAATTCTTGTGACTTGAAGCTTGACTTCAAAAGATATGAGACACATTTCTACCTGTTGCAAAAGCTTTGTTTATGAAAGCTATGGGAATTACTTTACAGTAATTCTGTACCAAGAGGATTCTACTGTTAGTTTATCCATGAGTCATCTGTCTCCATTTATTACTTTGTAAAATCAACTACATTTTTGTTTCAAAAGCATTTTTAACACAGTTTGATAAAAGTAATATTAGGTGAATGGTAATATGCATTAGCAAAAGAGGTTTTGCTTTGATGAGTCCAGCCATCTTATATAGTATTGGGCATCTGTTTTGTATAATCTACTCCTTCAACAATTTTTACTGGAGTCACTGTACATTTTCCACATCTGTTGGGGATATGAGGCAGAGGTATATATGGGTTTTCCAATCCTGTATATTTAGTGGTAAAAAAGGCCACTTGGTACAAACTGTGTACAGTGTATGGGTGAGTAAAGAGGTTGTGTCAAGGTCGACTCTTGCTGATGAGTTTCTCCACCCGTTCCTTTGTCCGTCTATCTCACATACCAGTTGTTCGTTTCTTATAATAAGTTTCTTCTACAATTCTCATTGGCTTAACCTGAAATCTCTTCATTGTTGAAGACAATGAAAATATGTGTATAATATCTTTTTAAAATATTTACTGATATTTTTTTCTAAATTACCATAGTTTGAAATCTGTCACTTATAGCTTGTTTTCAATTAAATTAAGGATTTCTTGTCACTGCACTGGGGTGGCATTCTTAATGCCTTCATCGTCTGGCTAAAGTTTTGTTTTTAGTTCAGTGGCCTTAACAGAGAGTGTGTGTATCTGGTCAAGGTGGTCATGTTTGTTGCCCATGGAGGTTCATGCCACTTGGTTAATGAAGTACATAATGTTACTGTCTGAGAATTTGAGTTTAAATAAGAAAAATGTTTTTCCACTTTATCTGTGTGGTGTATTGTGTGGGCATGTCCATTTGTTCATTTTGCCCATAGAATAATCCAGGGCCAGGGAGAGGAGTCTAACTCAAATGAATCTTGTGTGTCTAGCTATAGATAACAAGGTCGAGGGAATTACTTCTCATAACATACACCAGTCTTCTGTGAAACATCGGGTCACTGTTGTCACTTAAGAGTTATTGAAATAGTGAAGAAATGAAAGGAAATAAACACATGTGATGTTTAGCACTTGCCCAATATCATGATGTTTATAAGAACGTATCCTTGCTAGTCAAAATTACACAATTTTTCCTTAATGGTCAGTGAAGTGAGAATTGTGTTTTAGTATGACCTATAGAGTACAGTATTGGTATTACGTGAATGTTACTGATTATAGAATCCCCCTCTCAGTGTTTCCTGAACCCCTCCGTCAGAGAGAGCACAGTAGTGTTTTATGCCCGGTAGTAATTTGAGTTGTTGTTCTCGCAGGTGTCTCTCAGAGTGTCTCTCAAAGCTCCACATCCACTGGTTTTGTTTCTGATAATACGTTTGATGCTGTATTTGGCAACAATAGTACATCCCAGAGTAAGTTGTATTTTATGCATGGATTTTATTTTGTTTGTATTTAATTGATTTCTACAATTTCATATTTATCATTTCTTTCTTTCTGTAATAATGTGTTATGACAACCTAATTTAAAGGTGAATATTGGTTACAGTAGTTTTACAAGTTCCTTCATTAACTAGGGACCAATCCTTCCTGGAAAGTGCCATGTTGTAGATAAACAACCAGTCAGCTGCTCTGGATCTAACCCAGGTGAACACAAGACAAAAATCAGTATCCTGATGATGTAATGAGTTGTTCTCAGTGTCAGGCAGTTATGCAGTGTACAGAACAGGTTGTAGCTGTACAGTCATCATGCTCAGCTGGCTGTTGATCTGTGGTCATTGTTTAACTAAAAATTATAATACATGTCCCTGTCGTGAATGATTTTGGCTTAAAACAGAAATCTTTACTTTTTCAAATGAGGGAGAATAAGTTTGTAAACTTCATCACAGGTGAAGTTTAGGATACTCTGTATTATATAATTACTGCTAACACTTGGCATATATTTCTGAAGCTGTTTGAGCTATCTACAGTATAAGATAATCACTTGTGTGAGAGATATTTAACACTGGAATCCTCCGTTATTTTACTCCAGTGTGTCTTCTTAGCAGCAATGGATCACAAACTGGATTTAGCAAGTTACATGTTCTTTCTATTTTGTGGTAAACAAATGAAATACAAAAGCTCTGCATCATATAAGGTAACATAATCCTGCAACTATATCTTCTTATCATTTGACTTTATGGCAAGAATTGGTATTTAGAATGAAAAGTATAGGTGTGAATTGCTCGTGTTCATCAGTAGGGGTGAGCCTGTCAGTCTTAATTATTCATATGAAGCCCCAATAAGTTGAGCAAGTAATATAGGTTCAGATATTAACTTTAGAATTTCCTGGGGGGAGTGTTTTGTGGATCATGCAATAAGACTATTTACTGCTGTTTTACACACATCAATTTACAGCTGTTTTAAAAATATTTACAGTACTGTACTGTTCCCTGTTGTATTTGTTCTCCAGTAAACATGAAAAACAAATACATTGATATGACATAAACACATAAAAGTACTGTACATTATGGGAAGTAATTGAACTATATGAACCAGTTTACACCTGCTGAAGTGTAAGTAGTAAACCAGTGGCTACATTAGTGTATCAACAGTAGGGTAGGTGTCGGCTTTTGGATTCATTTTGGCCTTGCACTCACCTTACTGCAGAGAGCAGTTTAAAATGGGTTGACACAGATGGATCCCTCGAGGCATATGGCGATGAGATAATGAACTAATATATGTAGGAATTTGGAATAATATATAATTTTCAAATTTCTGGAGTTATGAGTGAATGGATCATTGGTGTTGGCATGAGCTGACTTGTTTAGCCTGGACTAACATTGCTGTAAATCCAAATATTTCAAAACTTCCCAGTTTGTCTTCAAAAGGTTCATATATACCAGGTAGTGTCCAGTTCACCCAGATACTATGATTAGTGAAGTCCAGTTTAACGGGGAGGGTGGGGGGGTTACTGTACAAGTCGGCTTCGAAAGAAAAAACATTGTTGAAATTATTTTTGGCACACAGGAAACAGATATAAGAAATTTCAATAAGAGAGTTTTAAAGTTTTCTCAAGGGACGTTATTCCCTCCTGGAATTTGAGCCATCTGACTATTAGGGTTGAGAATTTATTGCCCTGTTTCCAATGAATATTTGTAGTGGATGCATATATGTGTCTTTTGATGCATTATGCATTTGGTTTACCACATGCATATGGAAATGGAGTTATGAATTTTCAGGTAGATTAAACATATGTTAACTTTGTTGTTAACAAACTTTATGCTTGACTTAATGTGACAATAAGGAAACAAGGGGTGTGTAAGGTTCATTGAAGGGATTGTCCCACTTTCAGTTTGTGGTATTCATGTTATCAGTGAGATTATGCATAACATTGAACAAAGAATAATATTTATGAATCACTTTACAGTATGCCTCCTGGTTTATCCATTGGTTTGCTAAAAGTCGCAATAAAAATGGCATATTTTCCGTAAGATTCAACCTTTGTTTGGCAGAGGTAACTTTTTATGTACGAGCGAAGCTTTTACTGTATATATTTATGGAAACTGCCAACTGTGCATGGTGTTGTCAGTTGAGTAGGTAAAGAATTCTTGAAAACTCTCCTGTAGTATAGTGCTTGGAATAAGCTGTGTGTCCCTGAGGTACCAAACCTCAGTTAAGAGTTTTCACTAATATATAAGGGGAAAAGTTAAGAATATTATTTTATTTTTTATATGATGAGTTTTTCATAAGTTGTTACAGATACATACAGTGATACACATGTACTCAATATTTTATTTACTTTTTCTTCTTCCTACAAACACTTACCTTTGTGTTTCTCCATAAATATATACAAGTACCGTATATCTCGGCCTATAAGGCGTCGGGGTGCATAAGACGGCCCCCCAAATTTCCATTTAAAAAGTAGCTTTTGAGCTCTATTCGCTGTATAAGACCAGTACCCCAAATGTAACACTTACCCACTGACTCAGTAGTCCTTTACCAACCATCCTTGGTTTTTTAAAATAAGGCCAATTCACTTCAAGTAATGGCATCAAATGTTACCAGCTGGTGTAGTGTAAACACTAGTGACGTCACTTAAGCGTCTGTATTTAACTGTCAGTAGTTTCAAGAATTAATGCAGTCATTTACTGAATATTCCTTGTAAAAAAATAAATTTTAAAATAATTATTTATAGGAGATAAGTATTATTATCAGTAAATATACCGATATGCATTACTGACCACCTCCACTGCTAAAAATAGCCCAATCTCGCGGTCACTTTCCCTTTCTTGTCTCCTCACTGGCAAATGGGGGGGGGGCGTGGGGAGGGGTGTGTGATGATAGCTGTGTTTATTACGGGTATAATTCTCTTTTACGGTATGTTAGACAGGTTTATAATACATTTTTATTATTTTAATATACTGTACCGGTAATCTTAATTTGAATCCAGCTTGCCAAACGTAAGTTTCAGTATAAAATAATTAGTGGTAAGACCTTGTGAGTGGCTTACGATGTTTCCATCACCACTCTTGACACACAAAACCACAATATTTAAGAGGTAAGAATTTTATACTTGGTGATTTAGACAACCCCCTAACTTTGGGCAGATTTTTTTTATGTTCAAATTCCGTCTTATAAGCCGAGATATACGGTACAGTATACATACATACATATTCATTAGCTAAAGTTATTCTAGTATTGCTTTGATAATCACTATATTTAAAAGCTTCAAACAAGTTTATACATAGAAGTGAAATACCAGATTATCAAGAACTGATATGTTGTAAAACACTATTTTTATTATATACGATAGTTACCGTCAACAAGTAAATACAAACTGTAAGGTTAAAAGATTCTTCATTAGACTTTAGGCTTGTCTTTTATTTTACAGTACTTTAGTATGCAATGTGTAGACAATATTTACTTGCTCAGAAAATTTATTCCCTCGTTGTGTTCTGATCTGTTACTGGTTATATTTCATCTCCTATGCAGTCGTGACTATCCCCTCTATATAAACCTTACATTTACTGAGTAAGATCTTTTTCTCTGACAATTTCTTGAGAATGACCTGGTTCACATCTTGAAACTGCTGCATAATCATTGATGTTTTGGAATGATTCTCTGTGGCACCATCAATGAATGATCTGTATTTATCTTAATTTTTATTTATACTAGATATGTAATGGAGGTCACTTGTAATCCAGACATTATGTCCACTGACCATGACTTGTCTGAACAGTTAAAGATTATTGGAATTCTTTTAGAAGTTTGAAGGTAACAAAGAATTGTGAGCCAATCTACTGTTGTGAAGTAATTGGTGAAGATTCATTATTCCTAAATTCATTCCAAAGTTTTGATTACTTCTACAGTACAGCATTTGTATCTGGAGTACAGTAGTGTATTAAGTATTACCATATATGTGTGTGTGTGTGGAATATTTTTGACCTCGGCATCTCAGAGGAAGATTTCTTAGCTTGAATATTTTTTGCTTGAAATTGAATTGAGTATTATTCTGCTTTTGATATTTTCCATTTAAGTCAACACCATGAATATTTATTTTTTGTTTCATGTGTAATTTGTTCTTTAAGATTAAATTCTGTTCAAATTATCAAACTCAGTACAAAATTTTTTTTTTTTTTTTTTTTTTGTGCTGTAGATTATATAAGTGATTTCTTATGATTTTTAATGGTTGCATACCATAGTCTTCCTCTGGATGGCTTCACAATTACCAAAAATGTAGTGCACCTTTTCACAATAGGTCACCATCTCATTGTAAAATTTTATGCTTGTGAAGTATGTTGCACTAGTTGACTTGAACTAATAGAATGAACCATTGTTGCATGTGACAGGCACAGTTGTGAGCGGTACCTTCGGCTGGCCAGGTAATAGTCTTGCTGTTTTAGCTAACTCTTAATGTTGGGTTACAGGTAACTCTTGTAAGCTTCCACTACTAACACATGATGTTACCACTGCTGTCAGTCCAAGTGCTAACAACACAGGGTAATGCACCAACTTAATTTTGAATACTAATATATTGCTGGTTATACTGGTAGTGATACGCCTTGCCAGTAATAAATGATATGAATTTTGAAGTTAAAAGATGATCCACAGTCAGTTTGTAAATATTCACACTGAATTAACCATATTTAACTACTACTTTTTTAGTTACACAGATAATAGTTGATTTATTTTGTTGTGATGTCCTTAAGAAGGGTTTGGTGTGAATTAATTGTCTTATAATGAGATGTTCTGGGCATTTTTTAGTGTGTGACCACATAATTGAAATGTTACTTTAGTAGGATTATTTAAGTATTTAGATTTAAAGTCTGTTTTCTGAATGTATTGGAGCAGGTTTGAGTGCATAGTAAATTCTTGCAGGGACACTGTAATGTGCAGATGACAAAATGTATTTAATACAGTAGAACACAAACTATCTAAAAAAAGTACTGAAGAAATGATACATTACATTACAAATGAGTAATTTAGTTTCCAGAGGAATATAAATTTGAATTGCTCATAAAAGTTTTAAAGCAATGATGACATGTGGTTGATTTAGTTACAACTAAAGAAAACATTATACCTGTAAAACCTAATGAGTGGCTCGGGCAACTCGGGTATTATCAACTAAGGCTACAGGTTGAACACCCAGTGACTCTTGATATTAATGATTGAAACTAATTCATTACTTAGTTCATACCTTCCTGCCATATCCAGTTACCAATGGGTACAAAGGCTACAACTTGATGCTTAAGGCAGTGATTCTTACCATTACCCTAAAGTGTGTGTTCCACAACCATTACAAACAGTCACTGCCAAACATCAGTTCTGACTGAGCTGTTGCTTCTCTGTTAATTTGTTTCTTGACAGAGGCTCAGTACACCACCTTATCTTTTTAACTCGGTGCATGATTTTGCTCTAGCCAGAGTTCTAAAGATTGGTATTAATGAAAGGTAATGCCCCCTCCCCCCCTTTTTTATATGAAGTACAAGAGTATTTGTAATTGTTTTATGACCTATCTTGAGGTTAGTTGCCAGGTTGGTATATGTCCTCAACAAAACCCTGCACCACATCAAGGGGAAACCTTATTTCACACTACATGGCTCAGCTTGGCATATTCTGGCCCTCTTCATTGCAGATGTAGGTGTCTGGGTTGGGATTGAAAAGGGAAGACAATGGTATGGTCTGAAATGGAATTTTTAGAGGTTGGATATCCCACCTTCGAAGTTGTTAGACCTGTACATTATATTCACTTTCAAGAGATTCTTGTCTTCTTTTGAATTTTGTATAAGAATTTAGAGAAGCTCTTTCAGGGACATGATAGCCATCTGTTGCTAGATTGCATCATTCAGTAAGAGCAGGCAGCTGATTGGCCCTTTTGGCATGCACTGTCCCTCAGTAACATTATCACCACAGTGAGGGACATACACTGTAGGCTTACTCTAAGGCCTGTTAACACAGGAAACGAAGACATATTTCCCATTTTTCATTAATTACTCTTTGAGAATAATGAATTGTTTGTGATTTCTTTTACAATGCAAGCTACATAGTTGATTACAAAGTCAATTCATTGTCCTGACTCCTTGTAGACTTAGTGAACATAACATGGGTTTTGGTAAAGTAGGATTTGGTTGTTTGGACCAGGACTATGTATATTCTTCAAGTTGTGAGTGTACTGCACACTCCAGATGGCCATGGTGTGTGCCTGAATTGTGATGTTAGTGTTTACCCTCAGCCTTGAATGGTAACCTTTGTACCTAAGATACCTGGATATGACAAGAAGGTATACTGTATACTAATCAGGTATTTAGTTCTGGTCACTAATGTTGATGGTTCAAGGATTTACAACTTGTAGACTAGTAAGTGAATTGCCTCATCCAGGCTCGATTGTAAACTCAGATTTTGGGATTATTCATTCATTTTTGAGGATCAAGACGTTGCAGCTGCTAAATCTATGAACTTTGTGCCTTGGACATGAGCTTTATGTTGGGTATAAAACTCTTAAACTAAATTCTTATATGTGGTTGGTAAAAAAATACTAATATTGTGGAAGTATTGGGCAGAAGGGATTTTTTTTTCTTCTTAAAGTTAAGGTGTTTGCACCACTTGTGAATAATAATAAAATACATATACTCCATCATTCTGAAAATTTAAGGTAATTGTCGAGGTATTGGCTGTAGTACATTAGTGTTCTACTGTATGCACAGTTTTCCTTTTGAATGTTTTCAAAATTGTGTGATATCAGTTGTCCTTTAACCTGTAAGATTTAACTTGCTTCTAAACTGGTTTTTGTAGATTTTTTTACACTTGATTTATATGATGGTGTATGTTCAGAGGATATACTAGTGATGCTGCATCTCTTGTGTGTAAAGTATATTCAGGAGAATATCACAGAGCTTATCATTAGTTTTGAAAAAAAAATACAAAACTAAATAAAAATTAAGATGAATGTCTCCAAATATGAAACTGACCTGTATAACCTCTTATCAGATTTTAATAATTGAAATAAGAAAAAGTAAAGAGTACAGTATACACAATATGTATGTATACTGTACTGTATTGGGGAAAAATAAGTTAGAGAAAATATATTTGCATCTAATTTTGACTTGCCAGTTAGTCTCATAATTTTTTATAATGATTTTGAGACGACTGAAATGTGTGGGGAGAGAAGTTAGATAGAATAAAGAAGATTGAAGTAAACCATCCACCTGCTTATATATTATGTTAGAGCTGTACAGTACTGCAGTAAGTCTCAAAAACTGGTAGTTTTTTTTTTATTCTTTTTCTTTGTTAGGCTTGGTGAAGAATTTGACATGTTCATTTTGTTATTTTATGTGGAGCTGAGACCAGTTGCTGTTACCTGTACTGTACTAACAAATAATAATAGGCATATATATATATATATATATATATATATATATATATATATATATATATATATATATATATATATATATATATATATATATATATATATATATATATATATATATATATATATATATATATATATATATATATATATATATATATATATATATATATATATATATATATATATATATATATATATATATATTTTTTTGTTTGTTTGTTTGTTTGTTTGTTTGTTTGTTTCTTTGTTCGTACAGTACAGGTAACAGCATACATGGCCCATGAGAATTTTTTTTTTTGGGGGGGTGGGGGTGCTAGAATATGAGTAGGGAAAAAATAGTCTGTTTGAGTGGAGATCTTTGTAGTAATGAAAAGAGGTAGATTGTCAGCTTTCATGATAATTATGAGATGTATATATATTTTTAATGCAGTGCTTCCTTGATGTCCTCTTAACACTCATTATCATTAGCCTGTCATTTTAGAGGTGATTGATGCAAAGGTAGTTTGTGACAAGGATGCATTAATGGGAGTGCTGGTACATCTGATACGAGTGTGGTGTTTCACTGGTGGAAGGAATGGAAGAGAGAGCAAGCTGTTGTGTGACCGCTGTGCTACTCTTTTCTTGCAAGCTGCTCTGGTAGGAGGTGGCACCGACTCCGACGTCAATCCTTTTGCTGACTTTGGCGTGTCAGGCCCCCCTGCTCCTTCCTTTCCCCCTCAGGGTGGTGTCAGCTCTCAGGACACCACCAGTACCACTACCACTGGGGCAGCTGACCTGTTGGGTGGCTTGGATCCCCTGACAGGTGTTGGCAGCAGTGGCATGTCTTCCCAGGCATCCACCATGCCTCCTGCTCAGTCCCAAGGTGACAACCATACCACCACCAATACTGTCACCCTCCCCACCTTGTCCATACTGTTACACTCACCATAACAACCATACCACTAGCACACATTTATACCCACCATGACAACCATACCACCACACAACTTTTACACCCACCATGACAACCATACCACCACAACTTTTACACCCACCATGACAACCATACCACCACAACTTTTACACCCACCATGACAACCATACCACCACAACTTTTACACCCACCATGACAACCATACCACCACAACTTTTACACCCACCATGACAACCATACCACCACAACTTTTACACCCACCATGACAACCATACCACCACAACTTTTACACCCACCATGACAACCATGCCACCACACAACTTTACACCCACCATGACAACCATACCACCACACAACTTTACACCCACCATGACAACCCATACCACCACACAACTTTACACCCACCACTGACAACCATACCACCACACAACTTTACACCCACCATGACAACCATACCACCACACAACTTTACACCCACCATGACAACCATACCACCACACAATCTACACCCACCATGACAACCATACCACCACACAACTTACACCCACCCCATACCACCCACACAACTTAACACCCACCATGACAACCATACCACCACAACTTTTACACCCACCATACCCACCACACAACTTTACGCCCACCATGACAACCATACCACCACACAACTTTACACCCACCATGACAACCATACCACCACACAACTTTACACCCACCATGACAACCATAACACCACACAACTTTACACCCACCATGACAACCATACCACCACACAACTTTACACCCACCATGACAACCATACCACCTCACAACTTTACACCCACCATGACAACCATACCACCACAACTTTTACACCCACCATGACAACCATACCACCACACAACTATACCACCACACAACTTTACACCCACCATAATGTACTTTTATATCCATCAAACCATGAAAGCCACAGCACAACCTTACTATTACTCACACAATAACAACCATTCCACTACCATTATGTAACATCCACCATAGGAACCACACCACCACCATAGTACAGTATAACATCCACCATGACCTTCATCTTAACAACAGAATGTCACATCCACCATGACTTATCACACCAGCACCACACTGTTGCATTTACCATTACAACTACACTACCATACTGTTTTCATCTATCATGAGACACATGACTACCATACGAAAATTTTTATGCTGATCATGGTTGTTACCTTTTCACCATGTTCATACCAATGTGTCAACCATGCCAACCAGATCCCAGCCACATCAATCTTCACACCTTTACTGAAACAACGACACCACCACTGCCCTGTTGATTGTTGTCACACTTTATCACATCCACATTGTTCCCTTGGTTCACTCCGTATGGGCTTACCTAACCTCATCCACCTCCCTCTCTTGCCAGTACACCAATAATGCTGATTAATTAATTTATTTATTTTTTATTTATTTTACACACGCATTGCTACTGTACTACCATCTGGACATATGACATCATATAACCACCACCATCAGCATCTTGATAAGTTAAAGCAAGTGCCTATTGTGAAGTTTCACCCAGTAAGCACTGTGCTGTCATAAGCACCTCCACATTAGTGTCAAGTTTGTATGTGTTCACTATTAACACTTGCACGTGGCATGGGTCACCTAGCACTGTGCACCGCCTACAAGGCTTCTGTCAGCACACACATGAACACACGCACACAAATCTGATGCAAATGTATTTTAGTTATGCTCTTTTTGTATGCTGACTGTTATCATTTCAGACTGTTGACACTAAATACCAATAAAATTAATATTTCCTACAATTAATTAAAAGTATTTATCATACCCACATTGCTTCCTGTAACTATAACAAAATATTAACAAACTATTCTACCTTCTTCAAAAACTAAATCTTGTAAAAAATTGAAACACCTTTATACAGTACTTCATTTCATAAACTTGCCTAATCCAAACTAGAATATAATCCAGACTAGAATATAATTTATTGTTTAATAAACTCTTCTTGGATTATTTAAGTCTCTCTGCCTCTCTTCTTCACCTGTGCATGTTTTTTTCTTCCCACTTTGTATAAATTATTAGACTTTCTGCCTTAGTTGATGTCTCTTAACTTACTCAACCTGTTAGTATAGTTAGTACTGTACTGTGGTGTACACTGTAAGTCTATTATGAGAGTTTGAAGTTGGCTGGGGCCAGAAATGCCTGATGTTGGTAGGGGTTCGAAGAGAGGCAAAGTGTCATAGTAAGTTGTTCTGTAATGAACGTGTCTTAGTGTTAATGTAATGTTGCTGGTACTGGTTTGTGGTTTTTGTTGGTTATTTATGCATGTGTAATCATGTTTTTTGCACGTTTAATATTAGTATATGGTGTAATATATCCCCAGCAATTACTGCCTTTTTCTAATTGGAAGAAACCGCCTTTTTTGTGAGATCATTTTATCCCATGATACCCTCACTCTTGATACTGTATTATATAATCTTAATTCTTCAGCACTATGTATTATTGACCTGCAATATATGTCATTCATTTTAAAAAAAAGAAAGAGAATAGTGCAATTAGTATTTAGTAATTGGAAAAAATATTAATCATAATGAAATTTAAATTTGCAAATTTTTTTAGTTCCATCATATGTAACTGCCACTTTTATTCATTGTTTTTGGAATTGTTTAAATTCTTATATTATCTGCAAGTTAGAGCACCAGTTATGTGTGATCTAATCTTCTTAACTTACCACAGCATTTGATGGATTTGGGGACATTCTGAAACCTGAAGGAAGTGTGGGTGGTGGTGGTGCAGGTGGTGTCCCAGCAGCTCCTGTTGTGGGTGTCCCAACCACAGCACCCACTTCACAGCCTGGAAAGCTCATCAGCAGTGATTTAGATATGTCCTTATCATCCCTGGTCGACAATCTCAACATTAAAGGTCCTGTACCACAAAAGTGAGTTGAAGAAGAGAAACTTTGTGAATTGTTTCCATCTTTGATTTCTAATGAAGACTGTACAGTATAGAGATTGTTATTATTAGAATAACAGCTGCTGTACACATCTCTCAAGTTATTTCATGGGTACTGGTATATTAGATTGTAACTGGAAAGACTGACAGTAACCCAAAAATGTCATTATACATAAGCCTGATGTATTGTATCAGGTTAATGAACTTCTTTTTTGTAGGAAGTTTTCATTTCTATAATTTTAAGGTTGTGTCCCATATTGATCGGGACTCTGAGTTCTTTTGGGTTATTTTGTTTAAGGGAGCTCAGGATAACTGTAAATTTGGTTGTATGCAAAGATATGTATATTCCCTTGTGTTTGCCCTTTGGACAATTATTTCTTTTACCTGTACTGTGTATAGCCCCCCCCCCCCCCACACACACACACACACAACACATAAAAATAAATAATAATAGGAGCAGAGTTGCACGCGAGCGAAGGACAAGTGTTCAACCTGGACTGAGTGCACGTGGCCCAGCCTCCTGGGACAAGAGTGACACCTTGAGGGATGCCATAAAACTTGCGTGCTCCCAGTCCTGGCCACGAAAATGCTACTAACTTTAAAACTACCTGCAGACATTCTTGGGTACATCCAAGGTGTCATCTGCAAATAATCGAAGGCTGCAAATTAAAAATTTGCAAATTGTAAGGGCATGCTGTACAGTATATGCCTTATAGTGAAAGGACATCACTTACATGTTCTCGTTGTATTCTGTTCAAGTGACTGTAAAGTGATTTTTTGCTGGGTTTTTTTTTTTTTTTTTTTTTTTGTGACTGTAAAGTGCTTTGGCCAGATGATGACCATCATTAATGTGGATTGCTTACGTTGTAGATAGGGGGGGTGGTTTTAATACATCACCATCGTTAAAGCAGAATATTGTACATGTTATTCTCATGACAGCACTCACACAAACAAAATTGCACGTGTAAATGTGCCTTAGGTATTACAGATTCCACTGGGAGAGTCCACCTTGAGCTGTGACCCCTTGTGGGGCAGACTTTCACCAGCTCCGGGTATGCACATTCGATCGAATAGCGAATGCTCCCTGAGTAGTTTATACATTTCGATTAGGTTGCCCCTCACCTGTCTGCAGTATAAGCTAGGTAGTTGCAGGTGCTCCAGTCTCTCTGGGTAACTGAGATTCCATAGAGCAGGAACCAGTCTGGTGACCCTCCTTTGGACATTTTCAATCAATTGACAGTCTCTAGCATACCTCGGGGACCAGACAGGTTGACATTACTCCAGACGGGGAAGCACCTCACTCTTGAAGATCGTGACAAGCGATGGACCATCCAGATGTCTAAACGACCTTCTTACAAGACCTACTAGTTTCGTTGTCTGATTCACCTTCTTCTCACAATGCAGAAAGTCTCCGATCCACGTTAGGACACTTCCCCGAATCCTGTACCCCTCTCAGCCTTTCATGGGGTATACTGTCAAAAGCCTTGGCAAAATCTAGGTATATATTGTTGATATATCTGCCTTGTTCTAGAATTTGAGTCCAAACATCTAGTACCTTGAGTAATTGTGTTAAGCAGGATCTTTCTGGCATGAAACTGTGTTGACATTCCTTTATAAGGTTGTTTCGTAGCAGATGTTCCATCATGGCATCTCTTACGATGTTCTCTAATACTGTACTTTGTTCGTGGATGGGGATCACCCTTCTTGAATATAGAATTCAAATAAGCCATCTTCCAGTCGTTGGGGGACCTTCTGCTCCTCCAGACATTTGCAGAACAGGATCTTAAGAGGCTCTGCAACCTCATTTCACAGTTCTCTTAACACTGGGGTGTACCATATCTGGGCTGGGACTCTTAAGAATGTTTAGCTTTGACAATTGTATCTCCTCTATTTATTTTCATTAAGCTGTGAGTGTTCCCTACCACAGGCTTCAGTCCAGTTGAGACACTTACCGTCAGTTTTCTAAGGGAGGGTTAAAGTACTGATTATCACTGTCACACCACTAAAGCAGCAAGTTTAAGCATTATGGCCACCTCAAATGTTTTGCCAGAATAAAGCTTGTGTCTGCCATTTATTCATGAAGCTTACATTACAAGTTACTTGGTAATCTACAGTATGAAACGCCGTCAACAGATGGTTTTTTGCCAAAGTCAAGCTGGTAGGTAAACAAGATGGCAAGCAGTAAATCAGTTCAGCTCTATATCTTCTTTATCATCTATGCTGGTGGAAATGTGGGTCTACAGGATGTTATTTAAATGTATTTTATGTGGCTATGTATAAATTTGGGTGAAAATGTTTGATTGAAAATTAAATTATTTTTTTATTTTTGCAACCTATTCTACAATATTAGGGGTGTGGTGGATACTGTACAGTGCTTGACTCAAGTCCTGAGGGTTGCTGATAGTGTTGAGGGCAAAGCTTTACTGCTGTGGAGGTAATGGCAGTTGAGTGGTGATGGCCACACTGCCTTCTTGTGAACCAAAAGCTTTGTAACATTGAGATACATCCACACTACTAATGGGTCACTAGGCTTATGGGACACCCTTTCACTCTCCTGGCATACTGATCATATGATAGCAGATGCAAGGTAATTTTTTATGTTTTACCTTAAAGATGTGCACCTTAAAAAAAAGGTATCCCATATTTTATGGCATATAAGATGCACTTTTTTGTCTGAAAAAAAAAAGGCAAAAAAATCAGCATGTGTCCTTTTATGTGAATTTGAGGTCTCCCATAAGCTAATGAATCCCCTAATTGCTGTCTCCAGTGGGGTAAATTCTACCTAACCCAAGTCCAGAATTAAAAGTATGTTATTGCTTACTTAAACATGTTATTATTTTTAATTAATTAAAAAATAATTATTGTAAATATAAAAGCTCGATTTATAACTGATGATGATAACCCGAGACGATTAACGTCCGTACGGCAGACACCCAACTCTTCAGAGGTAGCTAAGTAGTAACCATTTCTGAACGTTACAAGTATTACAATCTATTAATGACATACTTGCAATATTTATTTTTAAATCTACAAATACCTGATACAAATGAAGATTTACATATAACTTTCTTTTCACATTTGCATCTGTTCACATCTCTGGCTGCATTGTAGCCAGATTAGACTCGTCACTGTAACCACCAGGCTACTGGGGTTATGGTTGTTTTTCATCTCTTATTTTTGGGTAAATATACATAACTTTCTTCATTTATTTTTACTCACTTACATTTCTTTAAACAAAAGTTAGCTGGTTAGCTTAGTGGGGGTGGGTGGAGCATTGCTAGGGAATCGGCGGAGGTGGCGTCTGCATTACTAAGGTGAGCCAGGGACTACTGTATATGCAAATGGTGATTGTGTTAAACTTTCACTTGGCTTTTATTTACTGGTTTGGCAATTCTGTATTTTTTGTTGTACTACCTTATTTATTGGTAATATTTTTATTTATTCCTCACATATACTGTTACTGTAAAAAACAGAGTTATATTAAGAAGACTATGGCTACAGGAGGAAAATACACAAAAGTTTTTTCCTAAATACTCCCTGCTGAAATGGGTGGCGAGGTCTTGTATGCCATAAAATAAGGTATGTTAATGTCACAAACTTGAGTATTCACAAGTACGTACAGTAATTCATTATACTGTAAATTTCTTTGAATCTGATGATGACTGGAGCGTGTTTGACTTGACTTATCTTCTTAACAGAGGTCAGTGGAACTCCCCAAAGACTCAAAGTAAGACAGGTGGGGCTGGTTGGACCCCAGTTGCCCCAGTATCTGCCACTGGAGGTTTTCGTCCACCTATGCCAGGACAGCCAATGGCTGCCCCAGGAGCCCAACCAATAGCAGGTCAAACAGGACAGTGGAGTGGTGGAATGCAGATGGGTGGGGCTTTCCCTCAGCAACCCATGGTGAGTTCTTGTTGTACTTGTGTTGGAATGGAGTTTTAACCTTTTATGTGGTGGGTCAGGTGCTCTGATAAAACTTTAAAAAGAAAAACAATAATAATAAAAAATTAAATAAATAAAAATAAAATAAAATTATTTACCTGTTATACAGTAGATCAGTGGTCCCCAACCTTTCGTAGCCTGTGGGCCACATTTATCATTGTAAATGTGGTGGAGGGCACCAAAACTCTGGATTCAAGAAGAAAAAATCTCATACGGGTATACAGTCTCTCCCTGACTTACGACAGTGTTAGGGACCCAAATCCGGGTCGTAAGTCGAATTGGTAGTAAATCGAAAATGCTTAAATAATTCATAGAAAATCGAAAATGGGTGTCTCTTTTTCTTCTCAGCACCACAAAACTCTCACTTTTAAGCTTGCCAGCCATTTTCAAGTGAATTACAAATGAAAATTTTTTCAGTACACAGCACAATCACTAACGTCGGGACTCGAAAATACGTAATTTGACAAAATTTTGGTACAACTGAGGCGGTCGTATGTCCGGGTGGTCGTAAGTCGAGGAGTAGCTGTATACAGTACAGTTATTTACAGTTTTATACGTCTAACTGCTACCAGTTACATACTTTTACATTTACTCTTGGACAGAACGTATGTATTTACCCTAGTGAGAAAGCTGGCTCTCTCTCTCTGGGGTAAATACACGTCCTGTACACGACAGTTGTATCAAGTCATTACATATTTTCATTAATTTCACTCTTACAAAGAATCCCAAATAATTCACAATTTTCTAATACACCCTTGTGGGCTCCATAATATATTCCGCGGCCCATGAACTACAGGTTGGGGACCACTTCAGTAGATGGTAAAATATGAAGAAAAAATTTGCAATAAAAGCATACTTGCCAAGATAGCTGAAGGTTATGCCATTTCATCGTCTAAATATATGATGACACTAGTTTTATAAAGTTTTAACAAGGACTGGCCCTTAAGGTTACACAAAAGGACCTTTATTTTTATTAAGACGATCAGAGATCAAAATGATACCAAAAAAATAATATATAATTTTATTTTTGTGCAGCATAACTTGCCACGTCATCCAGTGTTTGGCCGGTGTTTATTGTAAGACAGTATGGTTGCTCTTGGACCATAATATTAGTTTTGTTTAACCTTCGCCCATCAAACTAATTTAGTCTTCCTGTATGGAAAAGAATGACGCCTATTGAATTTGGCTAACAATATAAATCCAGGATTCTCTCTCTTAATAGGTGTGTTATTTGGTGTTTGTGGTGCAGTACTCTTCTTCATCATTTAAACTTAATTATTTTTATTTTATCCTAGAAAAATTACAAGGAAATTCTCTAAAGTACAAGTTCACATTTAAATAAAAAAAATTATTTTATACAATTTCTATCCGAATTTTATTAAGTAATATCATCCATTAACCTCAAAATATATAACTATTAATTATGAATTGTTTCTGGTCCTTCAGCAAGGAATGGGTATGGGTAGTGGTGTTATGCCTGCAGGGTTCCCAGCAGGTGGAGCTCAACCAGGAACACAGCCAACCCAACCCACACAACCTGCTGGGTTTGACCCATTTGGTGCCCTGTAACAGTCCAGGTAGTGTAATGCTTGGCTTATTTTGATCATATTAGAAAAGAATGATATTGCTCATAATGCCAAAAGATTGTGAATATAACATGAAGTTCCCAGTTTTGTTAAATTAAACATCGTGCGACATTTTTGCCTTTGGCGTTTTTGTTTTTTTTATTATGAAGGCTTATTAGAAATTTGTTTTTACATATATTCCAATTATTTCAGGTCGAACATAATAGATGCATAATATTGGCAGTAATGAAACAACATCAGTCTTCATTGTCACCACGTGTTCAGTGTTGTGGCTTCATTTTTGTGATCCTTTGCCTCTGTGTTGACTGAGGACAAGGGAGATATTAAAAAGTGTGCTAGTAGAGCTGATTGCTGTCGTCATGCCAAATGCATGTTGTATTTTTCACTTCAGAGTGTAGAATCTGTGATGTTTTAAGGTGAACTACTTTGTTGGAATAATATGAATTTCTATGATGGTAGTAGAGATCATGTCACCACAAGAAAATGTTGTCCAGATAAAATCACCCACATGAACACGAGATTTAAATCATGCTGTCATTATTGAGTTGCCTGGTGTCCATTTCTTCATGTATAATTGATATGTAAAACGTTCCAGATGATGTAATGTTGTTTATATGACTGATTACCATTTGTCCACTCAACAGACACGTAACTATCAACTAGGCTTCTAATGTATAGCATGGAATTAATTTTAAGTAATATACAAAGGTGTATTATATAAATTGTACATTCCAATGACTGCAAGCCAAAAGTTCAGCCTTGTGGGATGTAGTGAGGTGTTGCTGTGTGGTGCATCTTTTGTATCATATTTATTCTCTTCAACATCAGTGATGCCCTGCTGCCAAGGTGAAGGACCAGTTTAATGAATTTAAGTTGCCGACATAAGTCTCAAGGGAAAGAAATTTGCTCACAATGGGCACTTGAGTGTAATGCCTTCCAATTGTCTCCACTTTTTAAGTATCACAGTGCTGTTTATCCAGAGCCAAGACCGATAGGAGAAAAATTTTTACTATGCAAGAAATCATTGGGGTAGCTTTAGACTTCAACCATCAAAATTTTTGTTTTACTCTTTAGATAATTAAGAATTAAGTGAAGGAGAGTAGACATATTGACAGATAAACCAGAAATTGACTCCACTTTTGTGTATAGTAGAGACAAGAATGTGGAGATGACCACACAGGGAGAACCCAAGCTCTTATTACTCATATCTAAGTAATTAGAAAAATAGTAGTTGTACATAGGAGAGAATGGTGTTTGCAGTGGATGTAGTTGTTGCAAAGATAAATTGTGTGCATTCCAATTTGTGAGATAGGCACATAGTTATAATTTTTAAAGTCAAGTTGTAAGTAACTGGGTTGGTTGACTCGTATTTACAACCTGTATATGTGTTAGCAACGTTGTCAAAATATCATTTGAAGTATTCATGTGAAAATCCCTAATAGAAGGGATTACTATATTGTTGGCTGAATTGTAGAGAACATGAATAACATCCTGCGGCTTCTCACCATAAACACAGGACGCCTTAAACTCCTCCTTCAAGAAGCCTGAATGGCAGTGCTTTTATATTGTATAATATGTATGTATGCATGTATGTATAAAAGTAATACACAAATCCATTCATCTACAGTATATATTCATTTATGTGCTTATACATGTACACAAATATGAAATACTATACAATATATATATATATATATATATATATATATATATATATATATATATATATATATATAATATATATATATATATATATATATATATATATATATATATATATATATATATATATATATATATATATATATATATACACATATACATACATACATACACACATATATGTACTCTATCACTCTATCCTTAGATAAAGAGATGCTGATATTTCCCTTAATTTGAACATCTTCAAAACATTACATTACGAGTGACCTGTAGTACTGTACATTGAGATTAGCGTTGTTTTAAATTTGTGTATGCAGTAAGAGGAGGTACAGTACGTTGCTCTACTTGTTTATTATCAGTATGGGAGTGAGGTATCCTGTACAGTAGATGGTATATAAGTGTTAGGTAATGCCTGGTTTATGCAATGTGTAGATTCCTGCAGGGAAGTACAAGGGCCACATTGTAATTAGAAATGTATGTGTGAGCAGTACTGGTAACGAAGATATAATCTTAGCCCTATGACCAGTAGATTATGTTGAAGGGGGCTGGTGTTTAATAACTAGTGATAAGTATTATTCCATATGTAACATGATCTTTAAGTGATTTATATATAAATACACGCACTTGCACACATGTACACACACACACACACAAATGTGCTTACATAAAATTACATATATATATATATATATATATATATATATATATATATATATATATATATATATATATATATATATATATATATATATATATATATATATATATATATATATATATATATATATATATATATATATATATATATATATATATATATATATAGATATATATATATATATATATATATATATATATATATATATATATATATATATATATATATATATATATATATATATATATATATATATATATATATATATATATATATATATATTTACACACACAGTATATATAAATAAATATAATTTCATTCAGTTCCGAGGTGTGAGGAATTCTCAGGCATGATTCATTACACAAAGTCAGTTTCAGAACTGAAGTGCTGAAGAATTGTAAAAAAAAACGAAAAAAAAATATGTAAATATATAAAATGTAAGTAACTGCCATGTTTCTTTACCCAAGCTCACAATTTTAGGATCCATAAACATTTGGTCTGAGAGTTAACTCACAAGCTGGTGTTGGTTGTGCATAAACAAAATCAAGCAAGGTAAACTAGGATCTGGGAATGTTACATGTTGAATAATATGATCATTAAGGTGATGCCAGTTCCTGCTGTAAACAAGGAGAGTGTCAAGTGCTTAGCCAGATATTCGTTTTTCTTTTTCATCCTCAGGATAAAATTTTAGAAAATTATGAATATGTGCAGAGTTTACTTTGAATTATTATTTATAATTATTTTTTCTTCTTTAAACCATAAAACTTGTCCAATATGAATGGTTTAGTTTTTTGCTCATGTTTGTATCTACAATAGGTTGTGAAACTATTTCCTTCTTAATATCTAAAGCTCATCATTATCAATTTCCATTCTGCCTTATTACACATAGGTAAAAGGGACCTTTACTGTAAAGCCCTGATTAATTCTGTTTATGCATTCCCAGACACTCTTCATCTTTCTCTAGCATCAGTGGCAGCCTCTGTGTTGTGGTAGTCGGTTGAGAACAAAAATCATTTGGTCCTGAAAGGGAGATTATTTATTACTTTGTTACATCATGTAATACTGCAAGACTTGGCATCAATAGTCATCATTAGTGGTCTTGCATGCAGTCGCAGTCTCATACATGATGGACATGTGATGCGTTTGGAACAATTATGAATAAATGTTGAAGATGGTTGACCTGTTTTAATCACTTGTCGTACTCCTACACAGCAATAGGTTGATAAGTAACTTTCACATTTCCTGTTGTACCTTTACATGAATTCTGGCTGGATTCTCTGATTTTTGAAGTTTAAATATTTAAAGGAAAATATATGTTACTATAATTTTTTTTTTAGTTGCTTTTATTGCAGTGGTCTCTAACCTGTGGTTCATACCATTTTATGGAGCCTGCAAGGGTTCATTAGAAAATTGTGAATTATTTGGGATTCTTTGTAAGAGTGAAATTAATGAAAATATGTAATGACTTGATACAACTGTCGTGTACAGTACTTGTATTTACCCCCAGAGAGAGAGCCAGCCTTCTCACTGGAGTAAATACACACGTTCTGTCCAAGAGTAAATGTAAAAGTATGTAACTGGTAACAGTTAGATGTGTAAAACTGTAAATAACTGTACTGTATATACCCGTATGAGATTTTTTTTCTTGAATGGAGTTCCAAAGTTTAGGTGCCCTCCACTGCAATTACAATGATAAATGTGGCCCACAGCCTACAAAAGGTTGGGGACCACTGTTTTACAGTATATAGACGTGTGTAATTCGACAGCCCCCCCCCCTTTTTTTTAATCCTGCTTTTTCACATACAGTACAGTACTTCTTGTTAAATTTTACCCTAGCTTTTGAAAGCTACAACAAATAATCAATCCTAGACATATTTTGTAGCAATACACCAGATTCACACCAGAGCATCTTGGCCATGACGACCACCACAACAGTTGATGCTATAAACAGTTACCAACTCAAACTGAATTCCCTCCCATTACCAACAAGTATATCGCATTTTGTCTCGACACTGGAAAAAAACGCGTAAGGGTCCCCGTTATTCGTTTTTTCACCCAAGTTTGAATTTCTCTCGGACTGGAGATTTGGTGGGATTAAGTACATCCAGAAGAACATAAAAACACCAACCAATCACCTTAGAAACCAATAGTTGGCGAGTACAGAAGTAAGCGTTGAGAAAAATTTAATTAAAATATTCCAAGCATCATTACGACCACTAATTATTCCGCAATCGAACTGTTGATGATAGATTCGGAAGCAGCATTCTCAGGAGTACCTGTACAGTGGTCCCTCGGTTAACGAACACAATTCGTTCCAGAAGGTTGTTCGTTAAACGAAAATTTCGTTAACTGAAACCATTGTTTCAATGGGTTTTTGGGGAATTGGTTCCAGGTCACTGAAAATTACATAAAGTAAAAAAAAAAAAATGCAGTAAAGTACACTTACTTTGAGCTGTGTATGTAGAAGGCTCCTGGATGATGATGCTGATGTGAGTTTGAAGTGGGAGGTGGAGAAGAGAAGGAAGAGGGGGTGGAGGAGAAGCATTTTACTGCTTCTTGGAAGGCGAGTCACCTTCCATGAAATTGTCAGGAACCTCTGAACTGACAGATTCTCCAGCAGGAAAATCCTCTCTCTTCCTTGAAGTGGAAGGCTGAGGGGTAGCCTCTTTTTTCCACTGCCTTTTAGTGAAGAAACTGTCAATTTTTGTTTGTGGGGCATTTCTCATCATTAACTGATTTTTGAAGGAGAGCACTTTGTCCTCAACATTACACAAAATAGGTTCTGTTGTATCCACATCTGGGTGCCTTGAAGCCAGTTTCCTGAACTTCTCTTAGTGTAGTGAACATCTTTCAAATCTGAAGTAGACATGGTCATCACTTTCCTTTTCCTCCTCACCACTGTCAGCCTCTAACATCTCATCCAGTTGCTGCAAGTCTTCAGGAGTAAGTTCCTGCTCATGAGACATCACAAGCTCTTCCACATCATCCTCCTCCACATCGAGGCCCATTGACTGACCAATGGACACAATCTCCTTGTCCAACTCTGCTTCTTCCTCAAATCTCTCAAAATCATGGACTGCTAATGGCCACAGTGATTTCCATGCAGAATTGAGGGATCTAATGGAGACTTCTCGCCATGAGGACACAATCAATTTGACAGCCTCCAGGATGTTAAATTGTCTCTCTCAAGAACTGTGCCAGTGTTAGTTCAGGATCAGTGGAAGTTGCCTGATAACACCACCTGAACATTTTCTTCATGTACAACTTCTTGAAGTTGATGATCACATTCTTGTCCATTGGCTGTATGATTGATGTAGTGTTGGGAGGCAAAAACAACACTGACAAAGTCAAATCGAGACTCCAAAGTGCTGGCAAGTTCAGGGTCATGACCAGGGGCATTATCCATAAGGAGAAGAGCCTTTAAAGGGAGTTTATTGGTGGTTAGGTAGCTCTTCACAGAAGGGCAAAACACATCAACAGCCCATTCATTAAAGAGCTGTCTTGTCACCCATGCCTTACGGTTGACTTCCAATAAACTCCAAGCTGTCTTCTTAACACTTTTTGTTGCTTGAACACCCTGGGGTTCTCAGAGTGGTAGACAAGCATAGGCTTCAGTCGGAAATTCCCTGAAGCATTGGCACCAAGCAATAGAGTGAGATGGTCTTTCATGGGTTTATGCCCAGGTAAAGAGGCTTCATCTCTGGTGATGAATGTGTATTTTGGGGCATTTTTTTCCAGAACAGCCCAGTTTCGTCCACATTGAACACTTCCTGTGGAAGATAATTTTCTTCCTCCACCAGTTCTTTAAAGTCCACTAAAAATTTTGCTGCTCCTTCTTTATCTGCACTGGCAGCCTCACCATGCCTAATAACACTGAAAATGTCACTTCTTTTCTTAAATTTTTCGAACCAACCCTTGCTGGCCCTAAACTCTTTGAACTCTGTGCCTGAAGAACCAGGTTGATCTTCCTTTAAATGTTTGTAAATTTCCCTGGCTCTTTCACAAATAAATTCAGTAGAAACTGAGTCACCTTTCATTTGTTTTCCCTAATCCAAATGAGAAGTAATCTCTCTGTTTCTGATATTAGGGATCTACTTTTAAACACTGGTAGATTTGTCTCTCACTTTCACTTCCTTGAACTTGTCTTTCTGTGCAAGAATTGTCAACACGGTTGATGCCAACATGCCATAGTCTTTACTAAGCACATTTGTTCTAATGCCTTGTTCATGTTTCTTTATTATTTCCTGTTTTACCTGGATTGAAATAACTTTTCTCGATTTCTTTGGATCCATGCTGGACTCAATTTCAATGCTAAAATTTTAAGTTTTATTGCTGTAAATAAAGAATATTTTCTTTAAATCAACACTGCA